TCTCAGCTGGTGCTTCTTCAAGACAGTGTCCTTTTTTCTGAATAATATGCATGGGCTGTGTTAATACTGGGTGCTGCAATCAGTATTGGAGAACTCCAGATGACTGGTAGCAAGTGGTCTCTTCTGCTAGGTTTTTATTCTTTCCATAGGTCTTTCAGTCTTTTAATGTGTTGGGCTCTGCCTTCCTTCGTCACAGGTGTTTCTTAAGTTCAGGTGTTTTTGATCTTTTTAAGCTGCAGATTAGTCAACCAGAAGGTGGGCAAGAGCTTCCTGGGCAAGGGAAGAGATAGGGGGATGGAGCACATAATTTTAGCGTTTTATGATTGGTTTGCTGGCTCTACTAAATTCTTCTGCTGGTCAAAAGCAAGTAAGTATGCAGTAGTTCAGACTGGGCTGACATTTCTGAAAATAGTGATACAAGCTGAACCAGCGAACTTTGTGACAGTGTAAGTTCCAGGAGTCTACAGTTTTCAGGAGGCTGGCAGTTGTAACAAGAAGAACGGAGAGAAGCTGGCATGGAGGTGTAGTGGTCCCTTGAACATGATGACCAGCTGGTTGCATTGCGCAGATAGTTCTGGCACTTGGAGGGACTCCTGTCTGGTTCATGAGTTTCACTGCTGATACCAGGGACTGAATATCTGACTTTAAAACACCATCATGAGTTTAGGAAGCACATTTGTGCTTTTACTAGAAAAGACACTTTAAAAAATTAGAGCATTTAGAATTGATAAATTTTATGTGTTTTGTTTGCAGTTACATTTTGTGCCTATCATAGAATCAATTATGTTGGAAAAGACTTTTGATATCATCAACTCCAGCTTATGGCTTAATGTTGTGAATACCTGTTTAATTTTTAGTAGCATAGGGAGTGCTGTAGAGTGGTAACATAAATATTTTCCTGCATCTTTGTGCAACATGAGGTTGTTTTGAAAAAAGTAGTCATAGTCTTAAACATGAGAGCAGCATCCTATAGAGAATGATTTTCTTAAGAATTCAGAGCAGTGTGTATCTTAAACCAGACTGTATAGGAGTATAGGGGATTTGGAAGGATTTAAAAGCCATGCAAAAATTGTTTCCACAGACCTCAAATTTGGGGACTAGTACCTGAATACATGCTTTGAACTTAGTGAGCTCTGTGTAACAGTCTAAATGTTTTTTCCACTGTTGGGGCTGTAAGATATAGCATTGTGCATGTTTGTGTACTTGAGGAAGGCACAGCCCTGTGATTAAAAAAGATCCTAGAAGGGATTGGTTTGTTCACTACGTCAGCAGCTGAAAGCCAGTCCACAGTGATAATACTGACTCTTCGCTCTGTGATGTCTCCTAACTCTGTGCAGCAGAGTGGAGTGAGCAGACAGGTAGAGAAAACCTCCAAGAAATGGCCCATGTGTATGATGTGCATGGCCATGAAACACAGTTAATTGAAGGCAGAAGTTGCTGGCACTTTTATGTTTCTTCAGCCTTCAGCAATGAAGGTTCTTGTAGATGGAAAGTGGTAGTGTGTTTGAATAACAGCTTTTACAAAGTTCTTACACTGTTGTTTACACAGTTTGAAAAGATACTTGAGCTTGGTTTATTATTTGCATTAGTAAGAGCTGGAGACTTTTTGTTGTATTTCAGCTCAGGTCAGGTTCTCATAGAATTGTTAGAATCAAGACACTAAATTAAATCTGGATTGTTAAAATCATGAAGAAGGATTGACTGAGTGGGATACTGATATACAAATAAAAGATTTTGCCTGTTTACTTAGAAATTAATGCTCTGTTTTGGGACATTTGACAAATAGCACAAAGCCAGTTATGAAATTATGTTTCAAAACAAGTAAATAATGAACTTATAAAGATGACTTGTTTTTTTGCATGGTACAGTGAAGGGAACCCTTCATTTTTATACTGCAAATGTGACATTAATATTGTGGTGCTGATGGACATGACGTGTTGTAAGTAGCATACGCATTTTCTGCAACTGATAGGAGTGCATTTTTCCCATTGATACTTGCCTTGGGCAGTATGTTGGGAGCAGGAAGAAGTAGAGTCTTGTAGAGCCTGTCCTTACTCGCTGTGTGCATTTGCTTCACAAGACAGTGGAGAGTTGGCTGCAGCAGGGAGAAACTGTAACATGATGACCACAATGGCTGTTCTCCACCTGATTTGTGCCACTCAAGGTGCTGGAGAATGGTGTTGTTTTCATTTGTCTTGGTTTCCCACTAGCCAAATTAGGCAAAAAGTTAATTTTCTGTAAGTAAAGTTTTTTATTTGCCCATCAGCTGAAATTTGTCCTATACTTAAGGTTTCTCTTTACTTCATAAAAAATAAAATACAGAGCCAGTACTGAGTTCATCAATAGTTTCAAAATTTGAGGATTTTTTTGCCAAATGAGATTGGGCTGGGCTTGAGATCTACTGAGATATGTGTGCTACATTTAAGTTTTTCTTGGTTTTTTTTTTTTTTTTTTTTTTTTTTTTTTATGTAAGAAACTTGATAAAGTGGGGAAAGAATGGCATGCTATGTTACCTTTGCATGAGATATGTCCAGCATCCTGGTAGGCTTTTCAATTGCAGCTGTGAGCAGTAGTATTTTTTTCTCACCAGAATTGGTGGAAGATGTCTCAGTTAGTCAGAGCTCACAGTTCTATCCCAGATGGATATTAGGGTTTTGCTTTTCTGTCTTCTTAATCTTTGTTTTGCTGTGCATTTTCATAACATGGAAGTTTTGCCATTTGAACTGTCTGAAGGTTGTAATTGGCTCTGGCATTCAATATCTGAAAATGTGTTAAAACTGAAACGCTTTAATGCATGCTTTGACTTCTCTGCTTTCTGTGTTTACTTCATGAAAAGGTCTTCTTAACTCCATTTGTAATGATTATGAAAATATAAGAGCATGGTTGACAAAGCTACAGTTTCACCTACCACTTTCTATCTGTGAAATTATCCAAAAGTTGGAGAAATAATGTTTGGGTTTGGTTTTTTTCCCCCCAAAAGCAGTCAAAATGGCATCAAAGATAATTTGGCTATCCAGATTTGTCTGAGAATCAACCATTTGCATATCTATAACTTTACATCACTGTTCAGTTCTTTAACTTCTTACCCAGGAAATAGGGAATAAATTTTCTACCAATTTCTCTACCAATGAATTAAACTTCAGTTTCTCTAAGGAGCTGGAAGAAAACATTAAATGTCGGTCCTAGCACAACTTTTCAGAATTTCTGATAAATGGTAGCAATCTGAAGAGCATCATCTTAAAGCCCTGGTTTCATTTTGCAGCAAAGAGAATGGAGATGGAAGAAATGTGACAAATGTTCTATGATTGACTCTGTTCAGGAGGGACTAAGGCCTTGCTTTTTGTTGGTGGACAGGGGATACTTACAGCACCAGTAGTGGGCTGCTATTCATGTTCTATATTCAGTTTATCAACATCTTCATTATACTAAATAAGTCTTTAAAAAAGTAAAATAATGTATGCCTGAATGAAGTTCAACATTCGACATAAAAATAAAATGAAAAGTAATTTATGCATTTTACTAGTATTTGAGAACTATGCTTTTAAATAATTCCTTTCATGTAATTTGAAGTTTTTGTAACGCAATCTAATTGTTGTGTAAAAGTAGCATTTTAAAGATGCACTTTTCAAGAAGTGTTATCTTGTAGGTGTACAGAAAGTATGTAGCTAACTTCTAGTATGTGACATTTAAAGCTCCTGCTGAGCTGAACCTAAAAAGTAAGTGAAAAAAGGAAAAGGAACAGCCAACCCCACAAATACATTTGTGTTTGAGTGCAATGTTAATGATGACCTTTTTACGTCTGTTCAGCATTCCTTAGCTATTGTAACTGATTGAAAAATTTAGTGTGTATATTCACATTTATTTCATATGATTGTGCAGAAAGATTGTTGGATTTTTTTCTTTTTGAGGTGTTGTGTTTGAATTAAATTCAAACTCAAAAATTTTTATTTTCTGTTCTTCCTTGGGTCAGAATATTTTTGGGTGGTTTATTCAGCTGTCAGACAGGATAGCCAATGTGATAATGGCACCTGCATGATTCCTAAAGAAACAAAATTGTTTTCTCTTTCTCCCCATTGGTGCTACATAAAAATATACAGAAGAGCTCTCTGCTTCTCTTAGCCAGATATATCTATTTGTTTTGTTTCTGTAGCAAAACAGTATCATACATCTTTTGAGTTTAGAGAATGAGGAAATTAACTGTGAGTCTTGCTGATGTGGGGGGAAAAACCCCACAAACCTTGCTGTCTCCAGCTTTACTTTTGATACGAACTTGTGTGTATTGGCAGCTTAACAGTTTGTGCTGAGTTTTATTTGTGTGGTATTTATATCAGTATGTTTTATAGTATTTTTTTTCAGCTTTGGCTATGCCCTTGTAATATTAGATGTGCATCTGGTGTATTAACTTTTCATGTGTGTTTGTGTGTATAAATATATTGGGACAGAGGAAGAGTTAACCAACTAAATGGCTGTATTCAAATATTTTTCTGGTGTAACTGCTGGAAACCAAGAAGGGTTTTCTGCTTTTTAAAAATAGTTTTGGGTTCTTTTAGTTTGAAAAAGAGAAAAAAGAGTGCCACATTTGTTCAGGGTGTATTCATATGCCTTACATTGTTCCTGTTATTTCACTAAATATAGTTATCTAAAAATGTGACAATAATAAAAAATAAAACCAGTGCATAGACTTTTCTGTACATACTGTACATACATAAATGACCTCCTGGGTCTCCTAAAGTAAACTTTTAACATTCCGTATCTTTTACTGTGCTTATGCTACTGGCATGTAGCCACCCACCCACCCAGATTTAGCTGAAATAAATGAAATTTATTCTAGTTCATTTAAGTAGAAATCTTGTAAAATACAAAGGTACTCACTTTGCTCAGAAGGTTACTAAAACAAAGTGTTTCCTTAAATGGAGTGTTGTGGGGTTTTTTTCGCCTGCAGGACTGTGCACAACTTAATAAATTCTTACCTTACATGTTCCTTTTGTTTTCCTTTGCAGATGGGGTTTATACAGATTAATGAGGACTTCATATTTATTGAGCCACTCAATCGCACTTTGGCTGTGACAGGACATGCACACAGGGTGTACAGACGGAAAAGGTCCATAGAGGAGAAAATTTCTGAAAAGCCACCTTCTCAGAATCATTACTGTGGTGTTGTTACAGGTAATATAAAAATCGCACTGCAAAGCTGTAATGTAGCAAATGTATTTTCAAGAAAAGTAGATAGTAGTTTCAACAGAACCTTGACAGAAGCAGAACTGATTATTCATGTAGCAGTACCCTACAGTGGACTCTGAGATGGCATGTCACTCATTGGGGGAGGGAGTTGTCCATTAGGAATAGACTCTGCTTCTTAATATGCATTTGTATTTGAAAGTAGGAATCTTCAGGGCATTTTTAAATTTCAGCTTAATCATTAAAATCTATTTCTTGTCTCTCTGTCATCAGAGCTGCTTAATCACTCACCATGTGCAATGATTGTACTTAATTTTCTGTTTTCTGTGATTTTTATGAGTGTTCTTATTCTAAGAATGACACTCAGATGTGTATGAAACAATCCTAATGCATCTTACTCAATGACAGGTAGAACAAGTTGTTGAAGTAGAAGGGTTCAAGGGAAAAATGGCTTTTGTGAAAGATGGTGTTTTGTTTTTTCTACTTCATCATCAGCTGTCATTCTTCAAAGGATGGAGGACATCTCAGTCCTTTGACCTCAACATGAGCTGAGGGTGTTTCTAATGTTGTGAGAAGTTATTTTTCTCCTAGGAAATAAACCAGAATGAGTGCACATTTTTAGGCTTGTTTTTCATGTGTAAGTGAAATCCTGGCAAAATGCAAAGAAAATGGCAGAAGTGCACTGAAATGGTTTAGAGGCTGGATTATATGACATTTGGGATGAGGCGGAAGGAACTAAGTTATTTCAAGCAGGTAAGGAAAAATAAAGGAAGGATGCAGCTGCAGTTATCTGTTGCCTAAGGGTCTGCAGAGAGAAGATGAAGCCAGACATTCCTTAGAGGAATGCTGTGACAGACAACAGTTGTAACTTGTGTTCAAGGAAATTTCAATTTCCATAAGGAAAATAAAATCCCTACAAGAATGCTTAGCACTGGAACAGGTTGCCTAGAGAGGCTGTGAAGTCCACATCCTCAGGTATTTATAAAGCATGTCTAAAAGTGGCTCTAATAGAGCTGATCATACTCTGACACGTGGCCTGACTTGAGCAGGAGGTTGGACTAGCTGCCCTCTGGAGATAATTTTCAGCCTAAACTTTTCCATGGCTGTCTGATCTTTTCTGGACATTTGTACTGCTCTGTCCATTTTATATAGTTACAGAATAAATGTGGCAGTTTTTATTGTGTTTTGGTTTTTTTTTTTCCATTTTGGAAGTATTGTTTTTATAGTTAGGCATCCATCCAGAGTTTCAAATCAAAGATAAATTAGCAAAGTAAGGCTCTTTTTGCAGTGGGATCAGATAAATAACATTTAACTTCCTCCAGTTGGCTCTGTATTACTATTCTAAGCTTTGTATTACATTGACACTGCTTATCTGAAAGTTAAACTTTCTGTATTATCACAAGTTTTTCATATTAAGTAAAGCTGTTTATTCCTCCCTATTAGAGAAAAGTGAGTTAGAGTATGCCCGCCTGCATGTGTATGGGAATGAGAAATAAAAAATGAGAAGTATGCATGGTGTATGCACTGCAAAAAGCGGGGAGGAGTATCTGACAGTAGCAAACCATGATGGGTATGAAAATGAGTAAAGATGCAAACTTCTCCATGAGGACATAATTCTTTTGTGATGTTTATTATCAAATATCCTTTCACTTTCTCTTACACTCTAAAATGGGATTATTCTTTTGTAATAATTTTACACTCCAAGCTCTGATTTGTTCTAAATAATATGTCAACAGAGAATCAAATATCTGCTTGAAGGAAGTTTCATTATATTGACCACCAGGTTTAAAATTTCAAAACAGTGCAAGCTGTGCATAAGTGAGTAGCATATTCTGACACAGCGTTATTGCAAGCGAGTATAAATAGCTGAACTTTCTAACCAATGCTGTTATTCTAGCAAGACCGGTCCCTCATTCCACTGCCACAGGTTATTTTACTAAAAGTGACTGCAGTAAGTTATATGCTTAAAAACTCTGTCTATGCTGAGAGCAATTTGTTGGTGTGACATGAATTTAGTTGATATCACCAAAATACTCATGCTACAGACACATGCATGTTTGCACATATGGTACAGCCTTAAAGGTGAATAAAACCATCAAAAATAAGCCTTTACATAAGTATTTCAGAATTCTAAGTCAAATAATTAGCTAAGTAAACCAATTAAACAAAAATAAAGCACAAGAGAGTATGTGGGGCTCTGAGACAGTTATTTTCATCTGCCTTTATGGTAGAGGTGAAACTTTGTGACATAGAGCAGCCACAACCTTGGTAACGCAGCAGCTTCTCAGCAATATGGTCTTATCTTACAACCTTATCTCTTGCTTCTACAGTGCTTGTGTGTTAGGATAGAAGCAGGTATTCTGTTGCTGGATTTGATCCAAATTGATCTCAAAGGCTGGCTTCCTATCAAGCAAATGTGTATTGCTTGATAGGTAGCCAGCCTATCGTGAAATTCAGCCAGTGATGAATTGTAATTATCGGAAGGAATGAATGTCTGTGCTGGAGGTGTTGAAGGATTACTATTGGGAATAATAGCTTTTCATGGAGAACTAGCAGAGGCAATCAAAGAAGGTATTGTTTGTTGTCCGTTACCATTGAGGGCTGGACTGAAAGTTGCTACACAGCCAAACTTGTTTGGAGAGAACAAAGAGCTTGTTTTTGTGAATAGGGTGGTTTTCTTATTAATTAGGCAAGGGAGAGAATCATACTGACAGAAGCAGTTGCTTTCTTGATTGTTGACAGTGTGCACATATATCCTTTTGTTGAAAGTGCGTATGATTTATTTACATATGTGAGCCAGTTCCACATACACAGATCTCACACTCCACACCTTTCTTTAGCACATGGCCCATGAAATCTTTAAAAGAAACCAGTACAGGACTGTGTTACAGAAAAAATGTGAGAGAAACAGCTGTAATTAGGGCAAAGGTCCACATTGGGAAGCTAAGGTGTTTTTTTTTTTTTTCTACCTGCTCTGAAGCACTTGTTCCAAACTGAAGTTGTTTGTATAGAAAACTGAACTCATGGTGAAGGCATGGGGCATGTTGGAAAAAAAAGAAATCTCTTACCCAGGATACAGTAAATACGAATTTTGAATCCCTTCTGAATTTGGAAGACTCCTCTTCTACTTCTTAGTTCTGGCAATAAGCAATATACTGTCCTGAGATACCAGTGTGCTTTTCCTCTTAGAATGATGGAACATTTCAGGAAAAGCCTGCTAAGTTTACTGAATCAAAAGCAGAAGTCCTACTTGATGGCATGTAGATGGGGCAGTCAGCTGAGAGAGCTGTGTTGGTTCCTGCTCTACAACCTGTTTATGCATGGTAAAATATACAATAAAATGTGCAAACAATCTTGGTCATGGATCTGTGAGATTGCATAAGATGGAGACTGATGGTACTTGAGATATTAATTTCTACTCCTTGGGTCAGAAAAAAGTTGTCACTCTGTAGGAAAGTATTTAAATCCCTATTCAAATTATAGTAGAGGTATAGCTCATGGCTTCTTAAGCTCCAGAATATTCCCTGTGTAGGCAGAATACTGCAATTTCCGTGTGACTACATTACCCCCTGGGGAGTGATGGTGATTCCTCTGTAGTCTGGGCTGCATGTGCATATACTCAGGAAATGTTTTTGTGCCTGAGGACTTGAAGGTGTCCAGGAGTCCTGTAGTCACAGCCGCTTCTTAATGTTGGCTTAGATACTTTATGTAACCTGTGATTATAGTAGATGGCTCTAATTTTTTTTAGGATAGGGTTCTTGTTTTAGTAACATCTCTGCTTGTTTTCTCTTAATTGCCTATTTTATGTCAAATTTATTTGCTGCAATATTTTTAGCCTTCTTGCTGAAGTAATGCAGTGTTCCTAGCTTTCCTTTCAGTCAACTGAGTTTAAGTAGTGTATGCATATGGAACCTTCTTATTCTACATAGTTGCACAAACAGAAGTCTTATTGCACAGAACTCTTCTGTAGAATTTATATTTTATTTTGGCAATGTAATTAAATTTTTAAGATGAATTAATTCATCTTTCATCTGTCTTTTATCTTGTTAGTAAATGAATTATTGATGTAGCTGGGTTTTTTGCAGCAGTTATCTCTACATACTTTGCCTTCAATAATGACCAGTTCTCTGTAATTTTTACTGATTTATGAATATGTAAAGAAACAGGAGTTTTCGCTCTAAGTCTGTTTTGCTTGTTGTCTGGCAGCAGTTGTGGCAGTTATTTGAATACCAGTAGTACCAAAATTACTAATTCAATTTATTTAAAGTTCTTAGTAAAGGGCTACAATTTCCAGATAAATGAGATCTCGTGATAGGAATTTCTGCCAGCAATTTGGAAAAGGTTGGCTGGCCAAGAACAGATTGTCCATTGGTTTGTTAATGGGAGAGATATCTAAGGCAGACAAATGATGAGCAGACAGCTTGTCTAGAGAGCTGTGTAGCCTGTGTAGTCTTCTCATTCATTACAATCCCAAAAGACAGAGGTTTCAACAGCTTATGGGACCACAGTGTTCTTAGTGTTTAGCACAATGATGTATTATTGTGGACTGTCAGTTCTCAATAGAAATGCACTACTAGCTATAACTTTTAGAGAGATGTGCTAAGAGAATTCTCTGTACATGCTAAGATTCAATTTAAAGTTTTCAATCACTAGCTGCTGTCTTTTACAAAGAAATGAATGAATAGTGAATAAACTGTTGCTGGAAACTGCACTGTGCCTAAGAGGAAGGCAAGTTGACCAGGTGGGTCATAAGAGATGTTTTTTAACCCACATGAGTTTACTTTTTAAACTTATACCTATAGCTTACCTTTGCAGCATTAGATGTTTCTATGTTAAGCCGTAGTTGCATGGCTTATAGGAGGAGCTTTTTTTGGCACAAATATTAACACTGAGGTTTCATTAGAAATTATTCTCAAAAGAGCAATGAAAACACACATAATATTTTATTAACTAGGCTGTAGATCCACAGTTAGCAAACATGAGTTAGGCTAGAATGTAGCAGAAGTTATAAGGCTAAGCAAGTGCCTGAATGATCAAAATAAAGATACTTTCATTTTAGATAGCCAGAATTTATAAGCTGCTTCTACTTCTAGGTCATCAAACACCAAACATTTATTTCTGGAGAATACGTAGTTATTTCTTTTATTAAATGTGTTAGTAAGTCTTACACTGCCACCATTTGTAGAGGGATCAGTAAGACCTTCTCAGATGCAGTGGGATGGACTAAATCATTCAAATGAGTAATCTTTTATGAATGATTCAGAAAAGGATAGAAAACTTTTTAAAAGTGTACATAATTTATACATGTTACATTGAAAAATATATATCTACATTATATTTACATAAAATCTTTATTGCATGTATATTGAAATCGCAGACCCCTCTTCCACTGGTATTTTGTATTTTAAATTTAATTTGTGAGTTAATTGACTTTGTGAGTTCATTTGTAGCACTGTCCTGAAGAGTGACTTATTTTTTGGAGAGTGGTCATGTATTATAAAATACACTGCAGGAACTTTCCTATTAGAGATGAGATTGATTGTCTCAAAATTTTTGAATATTTTATTTTTTCCAGAACACAATTGTCATCTCAAACATCACATTTTTTCATCACAGAGAGTCTGATATTCCATTGTAGATGCTGCAAGAAACTCCACTTGATTTCAATGAGATCAGTCCCAGAAATTTTACTTCCTCTCAAGAGGATCTAACAAAATTTGGCTATTGCAACAAGGAGTTTAATTTTTCATTTTGTTTTAAATTAGATTGTTTAAAATGGCATTGCTAACTCCTGTGTGTAAATCTGACCATCTTCTGGCTTGAACTGTTTCTGTGTAATTAGGCAAGGGGGTTTCATATGTATTGTAGTAGTAAGGGGGATTTTGTTGGGTTTTTGGAGGGGAAACTGAAAAATAATGCCATTAATAACCTCAACCTTACAATAAACATAACATGTTTTCAATTTGTAGCTTTCTGTAGATTTGGAGGCCTGTTTCCAGGGTTTAGTTTTGTTACTTTTCTTCAGCTGCTTATAATGACGGGAGTACAGGTTTTGAAGTCATGTCAGTAAAAATTCTTTCTTTTATTTCTGACAAACTGATGTCATTCTCTGTCATTCATCTGAAATATTATTTCCTCTTCACAAATCACTGAATTGTTGCATGTATTTACAGAATACATGATTTTGTGGCGAATCTGTATTTGTTGTCTTGTATGCTGAGATATCGAGACAGCCAGATATTTTCTCTGTGATTTATGAAGATGGTCAGACAAAAATTATGCAATGTCAGTGAGACTGTTTTTCCTTCAGACCCAGCATGAGTTGGGTTTTCTCCCACAAGCCAAAGTAAGAGACACATATTCTTTTTAAAATATGTTAGTTGAAAGGCTGCAAATAATCTTTCTGACTTTATTTGAAAAGATGGTTAAAATTTCTGTTTTCTTGGTATGAGCTAATATTTATACATAGTAGAGACCTTCAGTATCAGTCTTAGCATTGGCAGTAGCAAATAAGCATAATGTATTAAAGTCCGTAGCTATTAGTTTCCACATCATGAGAGTTAAAATATAACCAAGGGTAACAAATCCTGAAAAGTACTGCAGGGGTAATTTGAAGGATGAGTTTCTCAAGCACTGTTTTGGTTTACAGATAAAGGAAAATCCAAGACTCAAAAAGTGTCTGAAAGTGGAAGAGGAAAGCGATACTCTTACAAGTTGCCTCAAGAGTACAACATAGAAACTGTTGTGGTGGCAGATCCAGCTATGGTTTCGTATCATGGAACAGATGCTGCCAGAAGATTTATTCTAACCATCTTAAACATGGTAGGAAATTTAAAACTAATTTTGATCTCTTGCCAGCCATGCATGCACCGCAGGCCGATTTCATTGCTCCTTCTAGTGATTCTGACTAAACACCTGTAAGGCACAGTCAAAAAACAGGACCATCAGCAGCAGGCTGTAAAGACTTAGTCCATATGTTTTGCAGCAGAAAACTGTAGTGCTGCAGGCTTGTCTGTACTCTCTGGTCATACATCTCAGGGAAGCCTGGAAATGAGAGAACAAGATGACTTTGTGGTTAGAAGCCCATGCTGTTGTTGGAAAGGTTGGGATATGGGATAGTTTCTGGTGACCTGTGCTTGATATGAAGGCATGACATTGTTATGGGAAGGCATTGTGTGGTCAGTGGTAGTGGAAAAAAAAAGAAAGAATAATGAATTTGGACAATTACAGTCCCTTCCAGTTCTTTCTGGAACTGTAGTGTACTCATTTGATGCATAAAGCAGTGAAAAATAGCATGTGTAATATACAAGGAAAGATTGTTGTAAAGAAGGAGCATAAGCTGAAAAATTAATATAAGCTTTAACTATTGTGAATGACAGGAAGAATTAGAGAGTTAGATGTTGGCTGAGACCACTTGGTCCAAGATCATGGATTTAAATGAATAGAAATTTTCATGTGAACAGTATTAAATGTGTGTGCAAATATTTGGAGAAAAAGGCCACAGTTTATAAAGTGATTGTGGCCATTGAGAGGAAAAGGTCTTTTTTTATGTTCCCAGAATGAATATTGCCTGAGTGCTGTTTTCACTTCAGAAGACCAACACAGTACATTATCTTAATATTCCGTTCAGATTACAGAAAGTAAAAGAAGTCACAGTAGAATATGAGAGCTTTTGAGGTTTTTTTGGGGTTCTGTTGTTTTTAGTGTACGTGCAATACAAATTCATATTCTTATTTGCTGAATTTTTTTTCTCTCTTAGGTTTTTAATCTTTTCCAACACAAGAGTCTAGGATTACAAGTAAATCTTCGGGTGACTAAGCTTGTCCTTCTTCATGAGACTCCTGTAGGTATTTATGACATTTGTCTTAGCCTGTAGAGGGTAATGCTACTTAGCTTGTTGCTCTGCAAAAGCTTACAATATTTATGGACTTTAATAGCTAAAAAATTTCCTTGGTTAGCTTTCGTATATTGTGTAGTGAGTTCCACTGACAAGCAGCCCCAGTAAAGATTAATCTTCTAATTTGTGTGCTGTATGTATTGGGACTTATCTGTTCTTGCAATTAAAAGTCAGTCAAAGTTTCCATGTGGAAATCAGGTAGATCTTAGCAAAATCTGCTTCTGCTCTGCTTTTTGTGCATTCATATATCTCAATGGAAAAATAATCTCCTTTAACTCCATTGGATTGCAGAAGGGGGACTGATGTTCTTTGTTGTCTAATCCCTAGACAAACAAAAGCTGATATAGCACTTAGTTCATAAGGAAGTGGGATTCCCTCACCAATAGGTCTAATCTAAAATGTTATAATTTTCCAGTGAATAAGTAATTTCTTTCTCCAGCCTCCTCTCAGCAGTTGGAGTAATCTCATTTCCTGCTCACATTCTGCATCTTAACATTATTATGCTTTTCCTCACCATGGATAATGAGAAATCAGGAAATAAATAAGACCAGAGTTTGGGTGAACTCTAGTATACATGTACATTTACACTCTCAATGCACTGTCTTCATTTGTATCTTTAACATGTAAGGAAGGTGGTCTTGGCACCTGAAGTTTGAGTTGTTCTGCCATGAACATATTATGCCATAAAAAGCAGAATATTTTTGCTAGCTCAGTCAAAAAAGGGTCCAAATTCTATGTATAGAATTCTAATTTTAATAACATTAATTGTTTTTCATTCCCAGGCAGATATGTATATTGGACATCATGGTGAAAAAATGCTGGAAAGCTTTTGTAAATGGCAACATGAAGAATTTGGCAAGAAGAATGATATACATTTAGAAATGTCGACAAGCTGGGGAGAAGACATGACTTCAGTTGATGCAGCCATACTGATAACAAGGTAAAGTAGTGAAAGATGAGCATTAAAAAATAGGTAGAAGGCTAGTGTGAGCATGGATCAAAGTAGATGGCCAGCATAGTAAGAATTTAGTTTGCAGTGAGGAAGGGAGCATTTTGAGACATCTGGATCTCGAAGTTGGTGGTAAAGTGTTGGTAGAGGTGGTGCAGAAAGCAGTATTTCCCAGATGGTAAATATTTTAAGGGATGAACAGGTTACTCTTTTGTTTCATCTTTGTCTATATATCTAAGGCCTTATCTTTATAGCAAAGGTTGGAATCCTTCATCCATGTGCCTTCATTTAAAAGAGGCAGCACCACAGGCCTGTGGATACTTTCAGTCAAAACACAAAAGCATATTTAAACCGTTTAAAGCTAGACCAGCATTAGGCACATTACTGAGTTATGCTTCCCCCTTAACTGATCTAGAACTGGTATGACATGTGTGAGGTACATCATGTTCATCTTCAGTATGTGTCCTGCAGCCACAAGGTTGTGATTCCAGATCTGCAGTTCCTTGTAGCTCTTAAGTGTCAGGCATTTCACACATTGAGAAGGAAATAGGCCTCCAGTTCACCTCTTCCCTTCCAAGCAGGTACATGGTTTTGTCATGGTTTTTTCTGTAAGTGGTGCAGGGGGGGATGCTGGTTGGTGTTCAGCCAGCACACAGGCATGATCCAGAGGAAAGGACAGAATGATGATTCAGCCAGCCTAGGATTGGATCTACATGCCATCTTTTGCCATTTATTCACAGCACTCTCACTGGGAACCTATATAAAATAAAAATAATGCATTCTTCTTGAAATTAGTTTCATTCTGATTACTCCAATATCTGTAGTGTATTTCAATCTTTTGAAGCAGAAAAATGCTTCCTTAAATTTTTCTGTTCTGGAGAGCCAGTCACTTACAGGAAGCAGGAAATTTAGAAGTCCAAACTGTCTGTGGTGAGAGCTTTGTTGCTACTTTGCTGTTCAATCCCTTTTCTTTTCTGAGAAAAGCCCACACTTCTTACTCTGTGTCGTCCTCCTCTATTTGATGTGTATATTGGTTTTATGGATTGTTGGGGCTTTGAGGGGGCAGTATACTCTTTGTTACACATTTATGCATGACTGTTAAGCTGTAGTTCTTCTCACAAGTTCCTTTCAAGTCTGGTGGAAGACAAAAGAAATAACGTTCTCTGCAGCAACTTCTCATGAGCTCATCAGGAAACATAGTTTGAGTGATAGACTAGAAGTAAATTTTGTAGATTTAGACCCCAAACTGATTTTCATACTAATGAGTGCATTGTGAGGCTGGGGCAGAGTACGGGGGTGGGGGTGGGGGAGAAGGTCTGGAAAGAAGGAAGGGGGAAGAAAAGAAGCAAGCAGTAGGAAAGAGTAAAATTGGGCCAAGGCATAAAGGATGCCTGAGTATCATAGAAGGCATTGGGTTTATCAGGATGGCTAAAGGGGAATAGACTTCCTTACACCTAGATGTTCCTTGTGACTGTTCAAGGATAATGAGCAACAGCATTCTGCTTGTTTGCTAGAAACCTTGGGCTCTCTTATTTTGAGACAGGTGAGGCAGCCAGCAGTGCCTACAATAGCAGCAAGAGTTAGAGCAAGTATCAAATGCTTCAAGCCTGTGTGGGTCAAGACAGTGAACATAGGGCTGCATTCTTTAGATTATAAGGTGCATCTCATGAGTAGTAAATTGCTATAAAATAAATAAAGCGTGTGTCACCTTTTTCCTGTTATTGTTTCATCTTCAGCTTAATGAGCCCTTATAGGAAGAGGCAGAGGCATTATGAACTGATGCAAGCGAGGCATTAGTTAAGTTGACGAGAGTCAGTGGTCTGGAAATGTCTTCAACTGTCAGTGCTTTTGGCCACACAGCTTTTTGGATTTAATGCAGCGTTTCTGGAAGTCTTGGTTCATGACAAATTGACCGTGAGCTGGTAGTGTACCATTGTGGCCAGGAGGACCAATGGGATTCTGGGGTGCATTGGGAAGAATCTGGCCAGCAGGTTGGGGAAGGTGATCCTGCCCCTCTCTTTGTCCACATCTGTGCTATTGTGTTCAGTTCTGGGCTCCTCAGTATAAGAAAGACAAGGAGCTACTGCAGGGGGTCCAGCAGAGGCCACAGAGGTGATTTGTGATCTGAAGCATCTCTCTTATGAGGAGAGACTGCAGGAGCTGGGCCTGTTTAGTCCAAAGAAGACTTAGAGGGGATCTCATTAGTGAATATAAATATCTCAAAGGCAGGGGCCAAGAGAATGGTGCCACACTCTTCAGTGGTGCCCAGCGACAGTTCAAGGAGCAATGGCCATAACCAAGACACAAGAAATTCCGCCTCAACATGAGGAAAAACTTCTTTGTTCAGAGCATGGGAACAGGCTGCACAGGGAGGTCATGGAATCTTCCTCTCTGGAGACATTTACACCCCACTGGGAAATGTTCCTGTGTCACTTGCTCCAGGTGCCTTGACAGGAGGATTGGACTGGATGATCTCCAGAAGGCCCTTCCAACCCTAAAAATTCTGGGATTCTCTGATTCTAATGGTAAAAAAGCTTTGTAAAGGTCTGATCATATGTTAGGATGCTTTTCTGCTTTGCAATGATGATATTCTGTTTTCATAGATTTGTAGAATTGTTTGGGTTGGAATGGACCTTAAAGATGATCTAGTTCCAAACCCCCTACCACATGGGCAGGGATATTTTGTATTAGAGCAGATTGATCAAAGCCCCATCCAATCTGGCCTTTAGAATTTCCGGGAATGGGGCATTCATAGCTTCTCTGGGTAACCTGGGCCAGCGTCTCACACCTTTACAGTAAAGAATTTCTTGCCTGCATCTGATATAAATCTTGCCAATTTCAGTTTAATGCCATTCCTTTTGTCCTGTCACTACGTGCACCTGTAAAAAGTTCCTCTCCAGTCTTCTTGTAGGTCTGCTTTAGGTGCTGGAAGGCTGTAAAAAGAGCTCCACTCTTTTCCAGGCTGATCAACCCAAACTGTCTTAGCATGTCTTCATAAGAGAGATGCTCCAACCTTCTGATTGTTTTCATGTTTCTTGTTTGGATTTGCTCCAGAATTGTCTACCATTTTTTATCTGTCAGTTTAAATACAATTTTTTTGCTTAAGTCTGTGATCAATTTTAAGGAATTTGAAGTAGAGAGTGTTTGGTTAGATGTCAGATAGTAGGTTATGGCTGGAGCCAGAAATGAAAGATCTCTTCTTCTGACGTTTTTATTTTTCAGTGGTATTATTCTCTAGACTGTACTGCCTTCCACCTGAGAGTTGCTTTAGCTGCTAATAAATCATACCAGGGCAATTTTCTGACTGGGAATGTTTTGCTAATCCAGGCTACCTCTACACATCATCAGGTTTATGGTATAGCTAACACCATGTGTGGCTCTACACATGTGTTTTGTTAATTCAGAGTTTCATTCTGTTTTGCAAACAGGGAACAAGCTCCTTTGTCACAACTTCCATTTGGACAGCAGGTCTGCTTATTGAGAGAAATTATTTTGTTTATACAGATGAACAGCAACTGCTTGGTATTTTTTGAGTAAATGTGTAAAGTTTTGGGTATCCAACACATTCTGTGGCCACCCTCCTAAAAGTTGCCACATCTCCTCTTTTGTCTCACATGATAATAGAACAGCAAGAGTTCTTTGTAAAAGGTTTCCTGTGTGCTTTCACATGCCAGTTTTGTGTAGTAACCAAAAGAGTTAGAAATGAAGTATTGAGTGTTCTGCAGAGCTAATTTTTAATGCCTAAGTACAAAGAGTGCAGTGTGGATGTTGTAGAGATTGGTGTTCAGCAGCCAAAGGGCCATCATAGACTTTTCAGGAAAAAAAATACTTTTTCAAAACTTATTTTTGCATTTGTACTGTAAAGAGGAAAGCAAAACCAGCTTCTCCCCACAGTTTCTCTGCTGCCCAGCTAGACTGTAATGATGCGTATCTGCTACCAATTCATTTCAATTTACTTTGGCCCTATTTAATGATCTCAGTTTTTGTTTAGTTTCTCTTTAAATTGGCTTATTTTGATGAAATGAAATCCTGTTTAAAGTATGCTGCCATGAAGTAGAAGAAAGGGAGAAAGAGTTTGTAATCTATTTAGAAAAGATTTCTATGGAGGTTGGATATATGTGATAAGGTAAAAAGTATTTTAAGGACTGTCTTGATAAAACTACCTGTTTTATCAGGTAAGTTTTACTGTATTCACAGTTATAAATTGGCACAGTTACTTTTTAGATAGTATCAGGACTTTTCTCTGAGGAAAAAGTGCAGCATGTTGCATCAACATCCTCCTTGCCTTTTAAGTTACAGGGTCTGAATGTGCAGAGACAAGCCCTGATTTTGGTGGCCCCTGAGATGACATTACCAATTCCTATCTGCACAGGTTGCTTGACCTGAATGAGGTAACTGAAAATAATGCAGGAAAAGGCCTGTGGAATTCCCAGTTGTTCTGTGATGGAGCTTAAGCTCTTATATAGACTCTATTACAAATTAGGTAATGAAAGCCTTGAAGTGTACAAACGTGTGGTTACAAGAATGAGGCAGAATTTACCTTCACTTCACAAAATTATGTATTTTGCTGCTTTTCCAGTGCATTGGTCAATCTGTTGTGTCACAGTGGTTTGTAGAAAAAGTGTGGGAAAAATAATACAGAAAAATACCAAGTTCTTTATTCTCCTTCTCAGAACTGATGTTTTCTCGTGTCTTTATGACAGAAAGTAGACCTCTGATTCCTCATGTTCATCAGGTAGTGATACTCCATGTTGATAGTGTGCATCAGCCATTTATTCCTACTGATCTTCAGTATCTGAGATCTCCTTGACCTGGGTGTTTCATAATTGAAACAGTGCTGTTAGGGACTTTCACTGTAAGAAAGTGCCTTGTTCTAAAAAGTATCTAATGGCATAAACAGCACTTAGATTTCGTAAATATTGTTTCACTTCCAATAGTTTCAACCATCCAGAACTCTTTCCAAAGCTTGGACATGATTTTTTAAAATGCTC